TTTTTCACAAGCGACAGATAAATTCCATTAACACAGAAAACCAAATGTGCAGTACATGCCGGAAACTGACTGGAAAGAAGAGAAAAAACACATCTGAGAGATCCACTCAAAGAGTGGTCTAAATCACACACAGCAAACTGAAAGACTTGAGACTTAAGCAGGGACATACCCCCGACACCTTAAGCCTTCAAACCACCAACACCTAACTGAAAAGAATACCCCAACCTCCTCAACTAAGCAAGACACAGATAACAAAACTAAAGAAAAGGAAATAAAAAACACTCCAACCATTAGAAATAGAAAACAAAGAAAATCTCAAGGCTTCAACTCGAGCCTACTCCTTGAAGTTTTTAGAGCTGCAAATTCCTGCCATTCCTTCCATGCTCCACGAATTAGTACCGTTTCTGGCATTCAAGTGTTCTCAAATAACCAAAGGTTCCAGGACTGCCATAACCACCATAAGATCTATGTCGTTAGTTGAATGCGATCCTCTGAGATTATTGTTTTGTTGATTGAGCATTCTTGCCACCACCATGCACGAAAATTGGTATTTTCAATCTGAACTCCTTCCCAACTCTTCTACATTTAAAAAAGAGGTGTTCTACTGTCTCCTCTTGCTCACCACACATCTTTCAAATCGCATCGACCTGAACTCCCTTCTTCATCACATTGATACTGATTGGTAAAATGCCATTTAAACATTTCCATATAAAATGTTTCACCTTTCCTTTAACTCTCAACAACCAACTCCTTTGTCTGATTTTTTTTTATCAAACACTCCATTATTGCTGCAATATGCAATATCCATCCCCAATATCTTCTGTTCCATCAGAAATTAAATCCTTAACCCAGGTTAGTGAGTGCCTCCACTGCTCTAAAGGTTGTGGGCTGTGATGGCCCAACTGTGGAACCCAACTGGGGTCCAGAATCTTGGTTTGACCTCCATCTCGTATTTCTCTGCTGATACCTTTAGAAAATGTAGGAATGAAGTCCACCCAATTATTCCATAACCAAGAAGCAGACTGAGTAATTTAAAACATGACATAGCAAAAACAGGGAGGGCATTGATTACAGCTCTTATCAGCACTTCTTTCCCAGCAGTGGAGAGGTAAGTGTTCTGCCAACTTACCAATCTCTTCCTCAAAGTTTGAAGGATGTACTCAAATGCTTCTCTCTTAGAATGTCCTATTCCCAAAGGAAGTCCCAGATATCTCGTAGAAGTGTGAGCTTGAATCCCTTCAAGAATTAGACATAAATTCTGCTGCACCGGTATAGGGTATTCTTGCTACAGTGTTCAGAATATGAAGCAAAAATCTTGCTTGATTTGGTTATGAGTCATCCGCAAATAACAAGTGGGTGGTGGTTGGGCCCCCTCTGACAATGATGAGACTATTTTGGATAATGAACTTAAGGATTTTTTTATTTTTTTATTTTTTTTAAACGGCAAGTATATTGAAAATTAGGGTGGGCAAAAAAATCGAATTTTCCCGTACCAAAAATAGGATTCCGAAAGGTTCTCTTCATTTTTGTCCCGTTCCGGGTACTGAACCCTTTTAAACAATGTCGGTATTAGTTTTGAATATTTGTCTCGAATCGTCCCGTTTGTCTCATTTACTTTTTTTCGTACAAAATATTATATATATATTACATTATTATTACATTTTATATTTATAGTACCAATTATATAATTAACAATATGTCATTTTGGTATTTAATTCATAATAGCATTCTAATTTTGTAATATATTATATATATAAAAACGAAAAGCTCAATTGTCCTAGTCAAAACTAAACAATCAAGCCCAAAAAGGAAAAAAAAGATAC